CCTTCGTTGTGGTGTGTGGGCTTCTCTTTGCGGTGCCTTCTCTTGTTGTGGAGCACAGGCTCTAGGTGCACAGGCTTCAGTAGTTGTGGCACGTGGGCTCAGTAGTTGTGATTCGCAGGCTTTAGAGCACAGGATCAGTAGTTGTGGCACATGGGCTTAGTTGCTCTGTGGCATGTGGGATCTTCCCAGACAAGGGCTCGAACCCATGTCCCCTGCATTGGCAGGTAGATTCTTAACCACTGCGTTACCAGGGAAGTCCAAAGAAACATTTAAATCACCCTTAAAGTTAGACTAATTAAAGTCTAATTACTCATCTTTCTGTACCTAAAAATATATTTGGAAAAGACTCAAAAATACTGGATTCCAACCTTATGGAGGCTTGGAAATGAGACATTTTGAGAAGACAGGTGAAAAGCTTAAAAGACTAAAGCGGGAGAGATGCAGCTCTCCTTCTTCCCTCCCACTGCCTACCGCTCAGCTTCAAGTTCAAGGAATCACCTGGTTGTAGGAAAAAGGAAGGACGGAAGGAAGGAAGGAAGGGAGGGAGGGAGGGAGGGAGGGAGGGACGGACGGACGGACGGAGGGAAAACTACCTATTCCTATATTCTCTATGAACACTTACATTTTTCCCAAGGTCAAATATTACAAAATATATCCAAAAATCAAAGCACTTGATCCCTTGACTCACCAAGGGAAAAGAAATCATTCCAAGGTAAGCATCCATAAAATATCCATTTATCAGATAAAAAGAAGCAAGAAGGACAAAACTGTTGGGGCACTTTCAGGCTCTGTGCTTCATTTAGAGCATTTATCTTTCTTCTGTTTCTGGACCTGCACTGTGATGAAGGGTGGACACTCATAAATGCATTCAGTGCAGCAAAAATTGATCCACCATCCAAACAGTACAATAATCCCACTGTCACTTCTCGAACATCTCCTGCTTATGATGTAATGAATTGCAAATAACTCAAATTATTTGGCGAACTAAAGATTTAATAGAAATATATCAATACTAAAAATGGAGGTGAAGGAAATTCATTTTTGACCACATACATAAATTGTGAAAGACCAAAAATAATGACAGTAATAAAAGGTAAATAAAACTAGTTTTTCTCTATATAAAAATAGAACAATTAGTAGTAGTAATGCTGAGATTATTCATTTGAAGAGAAACGAGATACAAATATAAAATCAAATAATATTAAAACTCCATAAAGTTAACTTTGAAAATTCAATGTAAACTCATAATTTTTTATTTTAAATATATAATTATCTCCAACTCTGTTCCCAGAAAAAGTCTGGAAACACTGATAACCGATAAGAATGAGCACCCTTGGGCTTCCCTGGTGGCGCAGTGGTTGGGAGTCCGCCTGCCGATGCAGGGGACGCGGGTTCGTGCCGTTGTCCGAGAGGATTCCGCGTGCTGCGGAGCGGCTGGGCCCGTGAGCCATGGCCGCTGAGCCTGCGCGTCCGGAGCCTGTGCTCCGCGGCGGGAGGGGTCACAGCCGTGAGAGGCCCGCGTACCGCAGGAAAAAAAAAAAAAAAGAATGAGCACCCTTAACGCCCAGACCGTAGCTTCTAAATTCCATTTTCTACTAAAAGGAACCAGAGCTCCTTGTAATAACTGATTCTTAGACTGGACTGTGAAATGAACAAGAGGAGCTTAAAGTATCCTATTGAACCAAAAAGCAGTGTCAAAAAAACTAATGGGACATGGATGCTTCTGGGATGTTCTGTATCTTGATCTGGGTGCTGATTATATGGGAATGTTCAGTTTGTGAAAATTCATTGTGATTCACTTCTGATAGGTTCTCTTTTCTGTCTGTTTATACAGGAACCAATCTCAAGGGGCTCCCAAGGAACAAAGAAAGTTTTATTTGAGCATCCAAAAAAAAGTCACTGCAACTAATCAAAGCATAAAGATCTTTAAAATCCATGAATTTACAATGATCCTCAAGAAATAAAGGAACTCTCCCCCTAAAAGAACAAAGAAATATATTTGATCACCTTTTGAAGAAAGAGGTCAAGTAAAATGGTGTCAGCACTGCCAATTCTCATTGGATATTCTCTCCGTTTCTACTACTGAGGGAGAAGTCTCATGATCTTCATAAGAGGTAAAAGGGAGCAAACGTCAGCTTTCATGCCATGCCAGGGTTGAATACTCTTTCTCTTCTTCCAGTTTTTGCCAATGTCATATTTGCTGACTGGCTAGCTGATTTACTGGGTTTACCTTTTTCACATTTCAACCGTTTTATACATCAATAATGGCCCTCACTGGTTTCATTTTTTTCAGTCCTAGTTGTCCTTTCCTCAGGGAGTTAAGGGAAGTGGAACGTGGAGCCAGTAACGGGAATGCCAAGGAAAAAAGAGATAAAGGGCTTTCTGGAAGCATTTCTGAGTATACATGCATACACACTAATTCCTATGACAAAACAGGAATGAAAATAAACACATTTCCTTAAGGAAATGAGGTGCCAATCACCTGCTTTTTCCTTTTCAGAAGAGTTTAATTTCTTTCTCATACAGTCAAGTCACAACTCCTTGAATGTGTGGAGACAAATTTCTAGTTACTTCATTTCCATGAACGTAAACTTGATAGTCAAAGGGACTCATGTACATTGCATCCTTTTTTTTTTTTTTTTTTTGGTACAAGGACCTCTCACTATTGTGGCCTCTCCCGTTGCGGAGCACAGGCTCCAGACGCGCAGGCTCAGCAGCCATGGCTCACGGGCCCAGCCGCTCCGCGGCATGTGGGATCCTCCCGGACCGGGGCACGAACCCGTGTCCCCTGCATCGGCAGGCGAACCCCCAACCACTGTGCCACCAGGGAAGCCCAAAAGAGAAGTTTTGTGATTAACTACAACCCACTGTGCTTGAAGGTAATATCTGATTCTGATGGTAAGATTTCTCAGTGTCAAAAGTTCTGCGCATGTAGCACATAGCTCACTGAATCCCTGTGGTGTCCAGAATGACTAAGGGGATAAAAGATGGACTCTAAATGCCTATAGGTGTCATTCAAAAAGAAGCCAACCCAATGAATCACTTTACCTCCCTGGGACTAAAACAGTCAGATCAGGCAATGGAACCCTTAGGTTGTGACATATTAAACTCTGAGATGACGACCTCAAGGTCTGGAAAAAATGATTCCGACCGTATCACTCTGCAAATCAGATTTCCAAACTAAGAACCATGGGCCACCTGGTTTTGGAAAAGTTTTCCTTCTTCATAGGCAAGCCTGGCAGGTGTTAGTTTAACCTCAGAAAGCCACCATTCTCACAGTGTACACATTTTATATAAAATAATAAAATGCCAAAAGAGAATAAAGACTAAGAGAGCGTTATGTATAAACTACAGGGGAGTGACTTCATGTAAAGAGAGACAAAATTCATGCTTAAATTCATGCTTAAAGCATGAATCTTGGCCTCAAAAGCCTACAGGTGCCAGGCAGGTAACACTGTATAGCTGGTTGGATTAAAGACTTAGGGAATGGTAATGACTAGCAAACTTCAGGCCTTGAAATAGTAACAAGACCAGATTTTTAATCTTCCAAGAGAAGCCAGGTATCTGTTTTGCTGGGTTATTTTTTTCTTTTTTTTATGTGAAGTTTCCTTTTTGAGATGATGGCAATTAACTCAATTTTAAAAAAGAAAACTTTTACATATTAAAAAAATTATAGTCTAAAATCTGGCCTGTAGGCCACCAGTCTTCAAGCTGTGCTTTAAAATTTAACTTTAAGGGACTTCCCTGGTGGTCCAGTGGTAAAGAAATTTGCCTTCTAATGCAGGGGACGCAGGTTCGATCCCTGGTCGGGGAACTAAGATCCCACATGCCGCGGGGCAACTAAGCCTGAGCGCCACAACTACTGAGTTCGTGCGCCTCAACTAGAGCCCGTGTGCCACGAACTACAGAGCCCATGCGCCCAACTAGAGAAGAGAAAACCCTCATGCCACAACTAGAGAGAAGCCCAGGAGCTGCAATGAAAGATCCCACATGTCGCAACGAGGATCCCGCATGCCACAGTTAAGACCCGATGCAGCCAAAAAAATAAACTAAATAAATAAATAAAATTTAACTTTAAATAATGCAGTAATAAGCAGAAATCTTCTGACATAACAGTGATTACACTAAATTAGTGAGCCATGGTTTCCGTCCTACCAAGAGGGAGCAGTCCATGCAAGGAAAAGGTCGAAGTGGTATCAGAACACCTGTGAGTATTTTCCAAATTACAGATGTCTGAACTATCACCACCACCACCACTGCTGCCCTTATGCTCCAGAGAAAATAAGGGTTTGAGTAGAGGACACACGTTGGAAAAGATCCCCAAGAGCTCTGATGGCACATCCTCCCACTCTGGGGGGTCACTGACCTCAGAAGGTAGAAAGCTTCGAATAACTGGGAGGGATGTGTCCAAACGGTGAAGACCAAACTCACTGGGCCTAAGATGTCAAACAGCATATCTGAAGTGGTTCCGAAAATAATAACTGCAAATATCAAAGATGACAAGGACCTCATAGTGAGCACTGCTGTTATCATATTTATTTCAGCCTCATGTGCAAAAATATCACAATCAATTGTCTACCTGCTTACTATGAAAGACTATAAAAACTGTATGCATTTTAAGAATGTGTGTGTCACGCATATATAATGAAAGCGAGGATAACCTTTCAGCCATTTTCAGGTGCAGGTTTATTATTCCAGAAGGGAAGGGGAGCATTTTATTTTCACATGATGCCAAACTGTAGACAGAAAGACGTTTAATGTTTTGGCTTTTTTTTTTTTTTTTTTTACTTCCTATCCTTAAAAAAAATATTGCAGAATTTTTTATTAAGATGGCTAAACATAACCAGAATCACCATGTCTTATTTTTCCATCTGATATATACATAAAAAATAGAAACATGTTCCTGTGATTTGGTAATATCTCAGTAATCTTTTGCTATCATTAAGCGTTGCCTAATCTAACCCTGCTTTTGATTTTAAACTTGCATTCTCCTAACTCACCTTGTAATTGGGAGTCAAAGCCTTCCAGGTCAGCTTTAAGATAAAAGCTGTTGGAAGCAGTTTATCCTCAAGTGCCTGTAGCTTTTTTCCTGGGAACTTGGTCTGTCTAACTGAGCCTGCTGTGGTTATCTGGTAAGTTATAAGAGTGGCTCCTTGATTTCCTTCTCTTGATCTTTTGCAGGAAGGCACAGAGGCTGAAAAAGAGAGATTACAATTGTATAGATACATCTCCATAGACCTGTCACGAGCATCTGTGGCTAACAGAAAATTCCTTCCACTTTATCTTCTGAGGAGAAAGTTCGTAACGGATGGCCCCCCTGCTTTCTACCTCCTTTGCTCAATCTAGGTAATCTCAAAGACAGCCACTGAGCTCCTCAGCAATCAGTAGCATGTATCATTTACATCTTACCCAGAGCTGAGAGTAAGAAAACTCTCAATTTATAAGGCAAATATTTTCTAAAAGGAGACGAAGTATATTTTTCAGAAACATGTTTAAACCTCTAATTAAATGTAAACCTCAAAAAGTTTTTTAAAACAGTCACTATGAAGTGGTTCCATCACACGTGCATATAAATGTACAATACCAATACCCAGATAAAGACCCATTACTAGTCTCTAATTTGTCTTAACAGAGCAGAATTACTGCCAAACTCCTAGAACGATCCTCTAGCACAAAGAGCTGACTATACTGGCAAAGCATAATGTTCAACCTGACATAATTTCTCAGAAGGCAAAGAAACAATATTTTACGGGAAGATAAAACATGTTCACTTTAAGTTAAAAAAAAAAAACAGAGAGAAAGGAAAAAAAAAATATCTGACCCTGCAATGTGGCAGCAGTTTTTTCCTTCAAGCCATAGACCTTTCTTTAGCAGCCTTGTTTATTCACAAGGTAGCTTTAAAACTTACTCCTCAGGTTTGATTATTTTTCAAGCCTACTGCTTCATTCTGTTTTCGTTTTTTCTCTTTCTACTTATAGAGAAGAAAAAGCACACACACATTCTGAAAAATTATGACTTAATAAAAATGCAAAAGATTTATGTCTACTAGGTATTTTATGCTGTGATTGCTTTTTAAGTGCCATTTATCTGCAAAACAAAAAATAAAAAGTTTGTTCTAAATGCCCCTCTACCTCTACAAAAAAAGCTTTTAAGATCTCTACTGTGTTGTAAGAAAATTCTGTGCATCTTACAATTCCTAAATAAAATTGATGATTACGATGATGACATAGAAAACTAGGCTTAGGGTCCACCAAGATTATTTCTGTATGCTCAGCATTATATGTTTATTTTCTGCAAACACTACTCAATCCATGCTCTTTAATCTCATATAATTATAGGCAGACTGAATATGAATAGCCAGCTACAGAAACTGCCCTATCCACCTTTTCTTTGCTCTTTCCTATGATGAATTCTGCCAAGCTTAGGAAAAGGAAGAACACTGAAAGAGGGGGGAAAAAAAAGAATATGGTAAAGAGCCCCTGTGCTCTACTGCAGTTCTTTGTGCACACTCCCACCCCCATTCCTCTTCCCTAGTCTTATTCTCCATAACTTCTTACCATCCTGTAATAGCAAATGGAAAGGTGAGGGAGAATAGAGGACCACGGGGTAATGGTTTCCTCCAATCCAGCAGCAGAGGGGAGGGAGGAGGGAGGGTGAATCTTGCTAATCACACCTATGGACCCCCTCCCCTCCCACAGGACACAGGCTGTGTGCGTGTCCTGTATCCAGCCTGTGTAAATCGGACCTTGGCCTGGGGATCATTTTCCCTTCACTCATCTCTTTCCCCACAGTCTTTGCCTATACATCCTTCAAAGCCCAGCTCAAAACCACAACTTCCGACTCTTTCGTCCATTTTCCCAGCTAGAAAGAAGGAGCTTCTCATCACATCTGGTACTTGGGTCAATTCTAACTAATGTGAGATTGTCCTGGTCTTTCTTGCTGCTTACACCTCTTATCTCCCCTAACAGACTGTGTTGACTCTGGAAACAGGGACCAGACCTTAGTTCCTTGCACAGCGTAAGTGTGAGAGTTAAAAAGTGAATTTTACAAGGTTTCTATTTATATGTACTTTGTAAAGGGTTTTGGCTGGTTCTAAGACTATAACTGATGTTTATATGTACATTCTGCGAAATTTTCAAAAGGACAACAACCATGATTATAAAGTCTAGTGCCTTCTATAACCTTCAGGGGGGCTGACCGCTCTGCATTAAAAATTACCAATCTATCAATACATGGTTCACATGTAATCAATCATCCCTGATAGTTACTGAAGCCAGAAACATGAGGAATATTCGTTTCAGTACAGCTTCAAAAACTTGACTAGGACAGAAAGATTTCTACTGTCGCATTCAAATTCCAAATTTCCAGGTGACTAATATATTAAGTTTTATTCAAAAACCAGGAAGTTAACCAAGTGGCAACTAAACTTTATTTTAATTAGAAACTGTAAAAGATCTTGTTTTACCTTGCACGTAAACTGCATACAGGGCAGAAGTCCAAAGGTGCTAAGCTTATAAAATTCAAGTCTGATTACTCCTTGTGACAATACACATTGAAGATTAATTCTTAAAGCCCTCGTTAAAAAATAAACTCAGAGAAGGAAAGGGGTAGTTTCTTTTTTAAACTCTAATCAAAATTGATGCTTTAAAAGAAAACATTGTATCTGGTTTTTATCAAAACACATAAAAGGAATCATGTTCTAACTTAATGATACCCTCTGCAGTTGAAAGAGACTTCTGACACCCCACCTCCTGAGCTATTAAATTAAAGGTTGGAAAGGTTGATTCAAACAAAGTCTTTTATAGGAGCCAGTACTTGAGTAGGAGTCTCTGCAAAATCTCATCAGCGGAGTTCAGTGATTTGGCAAAGGTTCCTTCCAAATGGCTCATTCAGGAAGCAAATGATCCATTATCTTTGCAACAGAATTTTTCCTGTGAGTCGTGTGACTAATCCTCCCACAGCCTGAATTTTGCCCACTAGATACCATGTCCTTGTCCAGCACACTCCCCACACATTCCACTCATTATTCAAGCCCCTCTGAGCACATGATATATCCTACCAAGGACTAGACTGTCCCATGTAGCGTAAGTCAATGCAGAGAATGCAAAATGGAGAGGCAAGATAAAGCAAGCTCCATCACTCTGTAAAATACTAAAGAAAAGATGCTTAAAATAGTAAAGGCAACCAGAATAACCAGAAGAGTATATTTACACAAAGTTAGCAGTCTACATAGCAAAGTCTATTTCACAACAAAATAAGAAATGAGACACTTTTGACTATTTTCTGTACAGTATGTGGCCCACTGTTTTGATTCAATGCCCACATCACTTCCACGAAGAAAGTTTGGTCCTGATTTAGGGTGAAAAATCCTAAACTGCCTTCCCAGAAAACTGTAGCCCAGAAACTTGCACATGGTGCAAGACCTTTCTTCATTCTCTTGCTTACCTTGTCTACTGTTTCCACTAAATACCTTAGCTGGTGAAGAGATAATTATTTTGCTATTCTCACTGGCAGCAAGGTTTAGACAAAAAAGTTGAATTCTCTCTCCCTACCTGTGATAATCTCAATTAACGCTGAGAATTTCTACACTATGTCTAAAGCCCTGGAGAACACAGTTGTAGTGCTACAGCCCAATAGAGTTTATGGAAACGTGCTGTGCTGAGGTAACTTCCTGAAGATGAAAACCACAAACTCCAGGTACTTTCACATTATAGCTTTCTTGTCAATAACTGAAGAGCAGACTTTTTGTTTTGTTTTGTTTTTTGTTTTTTGTTTTTTTGCGGTACGCGGGTCTCTCACTGCTGTGGCCTCTCCCGCTGCAGAGCACAGGCTCCGGACGCGCAGGCCCAGCAGCCATGGCTCACGGGCCCAGCCGCTCCGCAGTACGCGGGATCCTCCCGGACCGGGGCACGAACCCGTGTCCCCTGCATCGGCAGGCGGACTCCCAACCACTGCGCCACCAGGGAAGCCCTGAAGAGCAGACTTTTAACCTGGAAATCTACCTAATCTCATTAGTCCTATCATATATCACAGAGGTTAAAGGACATTTCAAACGGTGAGGAAAAGTGTATGAAAATCAAGAGATGGGAAAGTGCAGACTGTAGTCACAGTACTCAGAGTTCAGGGTACAAAAAAGGACAGTGTGGGAAGAAAAGGCAGAGAGTAGGTGTGAAACAGCGTGGAAGGTCTCCAATGCTGGTGAAAGACCAGATTTTGCTGGGTGGGCTACAGAGAATAGGAGCGGAGTTTAGAGCAGGGGAGTCAGGTGATCATGCTCCAGGGAGGCAGATCCTGGAGAACAAATTGCAGGAAAGAGAACCCAGATGCAAGAGAGGACCTCAGAAGCCACAGCAGTCAAAAAGGGAGGGGAGAACTACTGAGGAGAGTGGCCATTCACGAGGGACAAATGAAGAACTTGTATCTGACAGAGCAGAATGTGATCCCATTTGCCCTCACATACTTCTTGTCTTAACAAAAATAATGGCAAATAAAGCACATCTGGAAACATAGCCAATATTTTATAACTATAAATGAAATATAACCTTTAAAAATTGTGAATTGCTATGCTGTGCACCTGAAACTTACATAATACTGTATGTCGACTATACCTCAATTAAAAAAAAGAAACGAAAGCACATCCATTTTCTCAGAAATGTGATGGAAGTATAACATAAGATATGGTCAACATGCTAATAAACTAAAATAATGTACTCAACACAAAACAAATTTTTATCATTCTGTTACATATCTATGATCTAGGTCAATTTTTCCAGATTTTTTTTGGTTTGTATTTAACTTGGTTCCAATTGAGACATATTTCTCTGAGGGTAGGGAAATGTAATATTTCTGCAAATCCCAAAAGCTGAGCACAAGGAAAGACCTGGCACTTACTGAGCATTCAAAGAAAAAGAAATTCTTCCAAATTAAACAGTTCTGTTAAAACTCACAAAAACTCAGATGACTGATTATACAGTTAAGAATTCTGATTATAGATTACTTAAAGGAGTCTTCAGTTTCATTATTCCCTTGACTGTATCTGTTTTAGACCCAAAGAACAAATATTACAGAAACCACTCAATGGTTCTGTTATTCAGCTGAGTAAAATTTTCTTTAAAGTTTTATTTAAAAGAGAACTGTCTTAACTCTAAAGCACTAAAAATATGCTTTGGACAATTCC